CTCCCTTCCCACCAGAAGCTTCGTTTCCGAGCACCCCGACGTTAGCTTTAGTCTTCGAGACGACGCGCCCCTGGTACTCTCCATATTTCCCGGTTTCTGGGATCACCACGACGATCGGATACGTATCCTCGACTCTTGGTTGTACCTCGGGTATTCGCTCACAAACGTTCCGTATTGTCAGAGAAGAGCCTTCGCTCGCAAACTCGGACTTCGAGCCGTTTCTTCATCTCGAAAAACAAAAAGTCATTCAACCTGGTGCGTACTACGGCAGTTTGGAAAGTACGTCTGGGTCCCCTCCGAAACGTCCTTCAACCTTCTAGTAGACGCAAAAAGGAGAGTCTACTCCAACCAGGGCGACATGTTGACGGCAGACTACTGGAAGCCCGTTTCGCGGGCCGTAGTGGCCAGCTCGGGAGACCCCATAATAAATCTGTACGTAGCGAATTGCAAGTCGGGACACAAAATAAAATTGCTACATTCTCGCGGTCGCGACAGAACCATAGTGGACGTTCCTTCTCTCTTTGTTTAAAACAATGGAAATCAAATACGACAAAACGCTAGACAGGAGCATAAACGAGGACGTGGCAATAATACTGATTCGACTTACCGGTCGATTATTTCTACGAGAGGTGACGTTTCCAGGTTTTCGGAACCCGTACTTGAAGAACACTCCGCCATATAGGGCCGACGCCGCTTCCGCTGGCCTCAAACTAATGGTGGAATACAACGGTCCGTACCACTACGCCGTCGACAACTGGCAGCGCACGCGCAACGACGTTTTAAAGCGCAGGTGGTGTAGACTAAACGGATACGATCAAATAGTGGTACCGTGTGTCGTGTCAAAGACTCAATTGGAGCGTTATATATACTTTCGTCTATTGACGGACACGACCTTGACACCATTAAAGGGTGATAGCCACGCTGAGTCAAGGGTCACCTTCAACTACGCCTACCTACTCGACCGAGAATTGCCAAGTCTCTTTGAAGACGCGGGAAGGACATTAGAGGTAACAGAGTCGAACGAACGGACCCAGGAATACACGTTACGCTACCGGATCAGGAGGGAGCACGTGTTTGATCCGGCCACGAACGCCTACCTGCACGCGTACGACGAAGGCTCTAGCGACGAGTACGGCTATATAGAGGTGCGTTTCTGGCAATCCATGCCGTTGGAAAATATAAAAACTCCACGAGTGTTCCACGTGCCGACGTTTCTCTTCAAGAACGAAAAGACTCTGGCGAGGTACTTGGCGGCTCGGATACTCGACAGAGTGGACCAGGCCACGCTCTTTTGGAAAAAGGCCAATGTTTTCTAGATACAAGGAGAAGCGGGTGGTGGCTCATCTGCGCTCTCTCGGTTGGAACGTTTCGGATCAGTACTCGCACGAGGACCTGACCGTCGACCGAATGTTTACCACTACATCGGCGATCGTCGACAAGAAAAGAAGTAGGTCGCTGCGGATCGACGCAATGTGCGACCGAAAGGGAAGCCGCGTGGCCTTCGAGTACAACGGACCGTACCACTACTACTGCAAAAAGATTAAGAGTAAACCCACGATCGCTTCGCTCAACAACGACTGGTGTAAGCGCCTGTGGTGTCGCTCAAACGGCGTGCGCGTAATTTGCGTTTCGCCGGCGGCACCCACGGGTCGCGAGTACCTCGATTTCAGGTACAAGGTGTCTAGTCTGGCGACTTGTCTTCCGCTCAAAGGCAAGATGAAGTACACGACGGACTCTGTGCGATTCCTCAACGCCATAGGAGACGTCCCCAAGTACCTGATGCATCTAGGCATGTGGACCGTGTACGTGATCCGGGACGACGACGCCTGTACCACCTGTCTGGTCGTGTACTCGATTGACCCGGGCTTCGAATGCTACTGCGAGGGGGCTGGTTTTTGCGTGGTCCGCCAAAGGGAACCTAGCCTGTGTGCCTTTGCCGTCACGAGCTGGTGGCGAGAGAAGCAGCTCGAAAAGGACGTCGTCGCCTACTCAAAAGCCCGAGATAGAGGCGGTGACAGAGTCGTGTCCATGGACGACTACAGTTCGAACGGGGAGTGGGTGCATATGCTCCCGGTTCACATACACGTTCCGAGATACCGTTCCACAAACAGCAGATACTTGGCGTGTAGGATCATCGACGAAGTTGACGACGTGGCCCTTTTTCTCCTACCAGACCAAGATCTCTTATTCGGAACAAAAACAATCAAGGAATGCGTGGCCGACCTCTTTTTTGCGGCGAAACAACGTCGCCGTACACTTAGAGTATAATAAAGACAAATTCACACACGACGACTAGTAGAGTGTTTATTACTCGTCGGTACCGCGGCAGTCCTCTTCCACGTATGTCTCGTAGTCTATGTGCTCGGGATAGGTAACGACAACGTCCTTGGACGCCATTGGAAACCCCTCGTCGAATCGAACGAGTTCTCTGGGATCTTCTCCGGCTTTAGCGAATCTCGCGAGGCACTCGTTTAACAAAGTCCACAAACGCCCTGTGTTTGTGCGACGCAAAGTAGAGTGTGTACTGTATTTTGAAAGGGAGATATTTTCTGGCGTATCTCACGTGGGACGGTTCGTAGTCCCGCCAACCAAAGTCTCTGTCAAAATCTTCGCTAACTTGTAGGTACTTTCGAAGTGCGATGCTCATGCGCACGCCGTACGGTCGGACATAATACCGGAGTAGGCTGCGCTCCAGGTCCGCGTTCCACTCGCTGACGACGCCACTGTATTCGGATGAGGTGGTGGCTGCTTCGAGACCGAGCATCCGATCGCAAATGAGCCAATTTTCGCAGAACGGTAGCGTCACCACGACGTGTGCTGCAACGTCTTGCGGAAGCACATTCTCGGGCTTGAGCATCCTGGCAAAGTCCGACGCGTCGAGCGTTGGCAACACCCTCTCCTTCCAGTATTCTACGAGTCCGACGACAAGCTCGTGCGTCGAGGGGACATAGTCTTCGAATACTCCACGAGCTTCATCGAACGTTCCGCGATACAGGTGTCCGAGTCGTCTTTGTATTATATCTCGAATTTCACCAGTGGGTGCTCTAAAGTAATTTACAAACACGTCGTCTTCGCCGCACTTTGTAATCTCTTCGGCGAAGCTGGCCAAACGTCCCCTTCGTTCGGTCGAAGTAAAGCAGGGATCCATCAGCAATACTCGTATTGGTTGACGACCACGTCTCTCGTCGGAATCGCCAATTCCTGCATGCGTATCAGGTGAACGGGGTCCTCGCCCAGCTGTCTAATCTCTTCCGGAACCCTCCGATCCAGGTAATCGAGGACTCGATGAGTGACGCGGTTATATACGTCGCGTTGGACCTGAAAGGGCAGGTACTTGAAGGCGTAACGAAGTACGCGAGGCGATACCTGCAATGTATTGGCGATATCGTCCGCGTTCGATAGTCTGTCGCGCAGGAACGCGCCGAGTGCGACTTGGTGCGGTTTTACGCAAATGCTCAGCATCCTGCGAAAGACGCTCTTGTCCCAGCACGTTCCGTAAAATCCGAAGTCAGTCGACTTGTCGCGAACAAACGCCTCTTCCCCCAGCAAACACTCGTGCACGAGCCAAATGTCACACGACGGCAGCGTGACCACAAGGTAGCCGCAGTCGCCAACTGCGTTCTCTACGTTAAATAACGTGGGAAAGTGGGTTTCGGGAAGCACGTGCTTCTTCCACATCTGTATGCACGCATTGAGCACGTCGTATAGCGGAACCAGATAGTCTGGGTCGTCGGGGCTCTCTGTATCGTTAGTGTAAAAATGGCGGAGCCTCTTGGCTACCACGGTCTCGATGTGCTCGGACGGTGTGGGAAAGTCGGCGTTCGTAGCCGCGACCAACCTCTCGAACTGTTCGTTGTCGTATATTTGCCTCGACAGCTCTATTCGGTTTGCCTCAAACAACTTGTCCATATAATCGGCCACTACCACGGCTTCCATCGCGTCTACCCCCATCGTCGTACGAAATGAAGATAAACGAAAATGCGAGAAACGTACTTTATTTTTCCAAGGTCATTCTGTCGACGAAATATTTCGTCGTTTCTAGACTCTGTCGCTTCTCTGGAAAGAAGGCCAGGCACTTCCAAATCAGCATCCGCACGTCTCTGGGAAGGTTGCAGGTGTTCTCGACCAGTCTCGACTGTAGGTCTTGAATTATGGTAACTTCTCTCTTGACCTTGTTGTACATAACGTTGCGGACGAGGTTGCCTGCACACTCGAGCTCGCTCCGCTCAAAAGGAATGCTCGACAGGTACAGAGAGTATAGAAAGATGCCGAGGCTCCAGACGAGCTGCTTTTCCGGACAATAGTCCATCTCTGCGTACTTGTCCGTGCGATGGGCCTCCGGCGATCGACTGTCCTTGTTGCAGGCAGTGAACACCTCCGTCTTCGTCGCTCCGGACACGTCCGATACGTCGCCAAATTGCCAACCACCCACTTGGTATTGGTTTTCGTTGAAAAAGACGCAGTGCAAACTCAGGGCCGTGTGGTATACCCCTCGCTTGGCGCACTCGTAGACGCAGTAAAACACTTGCCGAAAGCACTCGCAGCGGTCCCAGTTGAGGTAGGCACCGGCGTCCACTAGCGTCTTGACGGTTATGTAGTTGTACGAGAGAGTCGCGTAAAAGACGACGTCGGCCGATATCCTGCCGTAACCAAAGATCCGTGGCAGGCCTTGTATGTCGGCGAGTCTAAAGGATAAGCTAACTTCGTCGGCACCCCCGTGACGATGCCCTCGACGTCCCAGGATGCAATCATCTTTGACGCGAAGCCGACGTGAAGAATAGTTCGCACGCCACTCGACGCGTGGACTGCGTCGTAGCGGATGGAGACCGGGTCGTAGTCGATGATCGAGAGAACCTTGTAATCTCGAGGATACAATTTGACAGGGTAAGACATCTTTACGCCGTAGGTCTGCAGGAACTACTGGCGAGTCGACTACTAGTCGGCTTAAAAAGAATGGACGAGAGAGAGAGAGAGAGAGAGGGAGAGATGGTGAGGAGGGTTTATTCGACGAACTCAAACATTTCCTCCAATCGGCAACGTTCGTTAGGATTTGCGTTTAGCATACGTCGCAACATGCGGTTAATTTTGACAGATTTCACGGTGGCGTCTAATTTTGCATTGAGTTTTCTCTGAAAGGAGGGGACCCTCGACGACGACGACGACGACGACACATTCGTTGTACACGCGTAATAAAGCCCAATCTTGCAATAGTCGATAAAGTCCTTCTTTTCGTGCAGCATGACTCCGACCGCGAGTTCGTACAGTACGGCGCCTAAACTCCACACCAAGAGAAGTTCTGGGTCGTAGCCTTCCATACTTGATTCCGCGACCAGCGATTCGGGCGACGAGTACTCCGTAGTGCAGGTCCGGTGCCTCGGTTTCTTATTGCCGACGAGATGCACCGAGCCCCAGTCGATCACCTGGACGTTTTGCAGGGTCGCATCGACAATCACGTTGCCCGTCTTGAGGTCTCCGTGGTAGACTCCGGCCGAGGCGGCGGCAGTGTAGACGCAGCGCAGGATTCTGGTAAAGATTCGCATAATGTCGGCCTCGTCGAAAGACATCTTGTTCGGACCGTGGATACATTGAAAGAGGTCTCTAGAACCCGTGTCTTCCATTACCATGTAGCCAATCTCCTCCTTGTTCCAGCGAAAGTAACCGTAGTCCAACAGTCGAGGTACGTCGTCGACTCCTCTCGCACATAGGTGCTCGATGACGTCAATCTCGCACATCTTGTTTGTAAAGAGAAAGTCGTAGCCCCACTCTTTGTCGTAGGATATCGGAACGTTCTTTATGACGACCCTCTTGCCAGTGTTCTTGTTCAGGGCAGAGAAAACTTTTCCGAAAGAGCCGGAACCCTTGGATTCCACGATGTGGTACTTGTAAAACATAACTTCATCGGTCGTCATTCTATAGCCACTATCTGTGATCCCGGCGTCTTTATATAGGGTGGGTGACGAAATATACAAAGAAAAATGTTTGATTATTATTCATACGTCGACGACCAGGGCGAAAAATACGTCATAAAGATAGGGCCGTCCACGAACGTGTTAGTCCTAGATTACGATATCTACCTGACAGTGTTCCCACTCGAGTTGTACGTGCTGGTTATATGCGCCGGTTGCAAGCAGATGCCCGAACTGGTGAACCACAGGGAAGACTTCAACGGCTCGACGTTTGTCTTCAAAGACGCGGCGTTTATGCGAGCCGCCTACCTACCGGATCTCGACAAGCTCTACGTGCTGGAGCAGGTCCTGGACTGCATGCTGTTTTGTGCCGAGAGGCAGGTGTATCAGGTTAACCTCTCGCTAGAAATGGTTCATGTCAGCAAGCTCGACCGTCGTAAAGTCTTTGTCTTTGACTGGCATCGGAGCATTTACCTGCAAAACTACGAGTACGTCATCGAACCGGACGAGTATGGCAACGACGCGTCCAGACCGCCCGAACTGCGGCACTCGGTGCCCGACTCGCTAGACTACGAAAAGATTGTTTCGTGGCAGTTTGGTCGCCTGACATACGAATACTTGCTCGAGCGCGAGTTTGTCTTTCCACTCGGCGCGGGTGCCTGTAGGGAAATTGCCGCCCTCAACGAACGATGGATAGACGGCGAGTTCTACGAAGAGATATTTAATGCCGAGAACAAATTGAGGCGTGTCATAGACGTTGGTGTGAAATCCCCCGTGATTCAGCTTTTATTGAAACGCACGCTGCGCGCATGTCCCGCACAGCGCGCCAATCTGAAAGAAATTCAAAGGTTAACGCTTTCTCGCTTCGACGTCCTTGCTTTCCCGCTCGATTTCTTTTTCCGCTGAACGACTTTTCTACGAAAGGTGTTTAGTATGACTTCCTTGTTATTGAATATGGAATAAAAGTCAGCCGCCATGTGTTGGGCGTCTATCTTATTCTTATTCTCTCGCTTCATGTGTAATTGGGCTCTTCCGATTGCGATGGCCATGGCATATTCCAGTATAGTCGCCAATGTCACCGCCGCAGTACTGCTAGTCCTCCACGTGTACATTCGATCCAAGAGGATTCCGTGAATGCGCCCACGGGGTATTATGAGCTTGACCCTTTGCCTCCTGGTCACAGATTGCGTCGACTTCTTCGCCATGTCTGTAAAAAACCAATCTGTGCACGGTTTGGATATCTATCGAGTTATATATTCCATCATGAAGAGACGAGATTTTCATTGCTACATCAGGAAATACACCAAGGATAAGTACGATTGTTCGATCGATGTCCAGGCAGCTGACATCGTGAACGACCTTCTGCACGACACGTTGAACGAGGTGTGTGACAAAACAAGTTAATTGGTCCACAGGTCCAATCGCCAGACCATGAACGCGTCAATGATCGTGTCCGCGATACGCCTCCTCTTAAAAAAGGACATATGCGAGGACTTGGAGATTCAAATCCAAAACAGGTTAAAGGAATATATGAATCACGAGAATAGCGAGTAGTAAAAAAAAACCCACGCTTTACTGTTACTAGTACGCTTTATCTGGAAACATGTCTACGTCCGCTAGCCGGTTTCGTGCGCTGAGTTGCCTGTTCTTCATCGTCTCTATATTATGGATGATATGCGGCATTATGATGTGGAATCAGACAAACTACATAGAGACACGCTCAAATAGCTCCGATCCCATTAGCTTACGCATACAGATATACAACAGCCTCGGCTTTATCATAACTATAGCCATCGTCTGTATTAGTACATACGCAAGCTATTACGAATTCAAAGAAGAACGATCGTTTGCCTCTTTGACATTTCTCGCGATCTTCTACCTCGTATACGTACTAATAAACGGAGCACTCAACGTGGTCGTCTTCTACATATTCAGCAGGACCGAGGTACTCTGTCAAACGTACACAGTGAATCGAACACCGGCGTGCATTGACGTCACCTCAATATGGCCCGGTGACAGAGTTCCGTTGTGTGGATACGACGCGGAAGAGTTTTGCGAAGCTCTCCTTCCGTCCTTTACCTACACGCTGTACGCCGCAACCACCCTGCTCGTGTTTGTCCTGATCGTCACCGAGATATACCACTACGTCGCCTGTTTCATGTTCGTAAAAAACCGAACCGCCAAGGACAATGCGACCGATAATATCGTTCCTTCGAAATACAAGCATTTCGCGCATAGAGACAGTGGTTTCGAAGAAGAGGACGAGCTATACTTTAACTGTAGCGACAGCAAGAAGCCCATCCTCGCGTGATGCCGGACACGCACGTGACGCTCTTTGTCCTGACTGACGATGTGATAGAAGAGAGTATACGCAGCGGAACGATCCGCATCATGTTCGACGTGCGAGAACTGTGCGGAGAGACCAAGCTCGGCAACAACGCTATCCTGGCTCGTCTCTACGATTCGAAATACTTTGGCTTAAACATGTACGATTCTCCAGAGGACATTTGTGACATGTGCAAACAAAACAACGCGAGGTGCCCGGGCCACCCCGCGCTGGTCGACTTGGGATTTCGCTACGTTCTACCCCTGTACGTGGGTAAAATTCAGTCCATGCTGAATACCAAAGACGTAGCATCGCCGGCCGCCGTCGAAGCGTTTCGCATCGCATACCCCGACCAGTACGAGCGCTACACTTCCAGATACCTGGTGGTGAGACCTCCGTGCGCGCGCCTAGAATTTATGAAGGACAAGAACTTGCAGCAGCTGATTCATTCTCAAATCACCTATGAGTCTAGATCTTTAAACGCCATGGTCAACTCTACCTCCCAAAAGAATCACACGTCCAAGCCAAAGACCGTCTACAGGCTTTGCGACTACTATCCGATCCTAAACAAGCTCATCAGCTCCGTAGCAATCTCGTCCGACAACGTGCCCGTCGTAGCTCCCGAGATAAAGGCAAAGATCGTCACGATGATTCACAACATGGCCATAGGCAAAGTCGTCGGCAGTAGAAGCGCCGGCTGCTCTTCGTCCTTGCCTTCCGGCGGAAGCGGCAGCAACGACGCGGCCTCGTCCGTATCTAACACCATGTATATGAGCGTGTCCACAAACAACAACGCCATGATCCCGTCGGACGACATACGGAGGGACGTCGCCTCCAACCGATGCAACGGCTCGGTCACCAACAACATCTTTTCTGGCGGACGCATTCACATGTCCATGCTGGACGTCTTGGCGCACAAAAAGGGTCTCTTTAGACAAATGTACGGAGGCACTAGACCCATCTACACGGTGCGAGGAGTCATAGTGTGCGCCACCGACATTGACCTGTGGCAAGTCGGCGTGCCCCCCAAGGTGTACAACTACGTGCGGAGCAAGGACGTGTTCCTCTGCAGGCACCCGACTCTATACTCGTCGGGAATGCAGCTAATTCAGCCGGTGCCGTACGACGACGACAATCTACTGGTCCTTAGCATCCACCACGAACTCAGCGGCTCCTTTAACCAAGACTACGACGGGGTCGAAATGACGCTGTACGTCTCTTCGACCAGCTACAAGCCCTGCGAGCCCGACGCCATCCTAAACTCCTTACCCGTCCTCTTATTTTCCGAAATTAACGGAATGGGCATAATAAAGTGTTCGTACAATACGGTGATGGCGATATTTGTCTTGACTTCGTGGCCAGACGAACGTCTGGACGACGCCTTCGTAGACTATTTGCGCCGTGCTCGCTCAATCTCCACGAGGCCGCCGCGGACCTATCGGCAGCTGTTTGAGCACGTCACGTACGAGTGGATGTTTGGCGCGTCGCCTGTCAAGCCACGATTCCCCTGGACCTTCGAGAAAATCACGGAGGCCTTTGGAAAGTCCCCGTGGACCAAAAAGACGACGAATCGATTCAATGCGTTCGCGGTCAGGATATGTAAGGGGTACGAAGAAGACTACCTACGCCACAGGGGGTGCGTGACGCGTCTCTGCGACGACTTTATGACGCAGTACGGCTTTGATTTGTCTGCGCAGGAAATGAATCGCTGCAGCAAACTCTTTAAGGCCGAGTTTGGAAAAATACCGGAGCACTTTAAAGACACCAAACGTCAGTTCACTTGCTTCAGGCACTCGGATGCATCGGTCCGTCCATAGTAAATTTCTATTCGCGAAACTACGTACACATGTGCAAAGACGTCGGCGTTTGCGTTTTCGACAACGATGGTGGTGGCGGTAACGGAGACGTGGCGTGCGCGTGGCTCTCCGACTGTCTCTGGGACGGTCTGCGCCCCGTGCAGCAATTCATCATGTCTTGCAACTCGATAGAAAACATGGTGCGCTCCATCGTCTGCACTGGCGAAGGTGGATACTGGCGTCGCTCGGTCCAATTCACTCTCGACGGCCTCTCGGTGCTGGAAACCTACTCTGTGTGCGACGCCGATCACGACGGATTCGTTTACCCGCCCGTGTGCAACGTCGGCGGAGCGGCCAAGTACGTGTCGGGCCAATTCTTCGCACGGTTCGGGATACCCTACTTTGTCAACGGAACCGAGGACGTGTACTCCAAATGCGTCGATTTCGACGCGGGTGTCGTCCTGCGAATCAACGGGACCAGCTTCTTTGTCGACTCGGACGGAGGCCTGGTGCGAGAAACGACCAGCTGCAACTCGCACTATATCGTAAATTCCTTGTTGGCCGTCAATAACCTGCCTTGACAAGGTACGCCTCAATGTCCACCAGTCTACATCTCTCCTCGGGCAACGGGGCCAAGCAGAGCCAAATCAATTCGGCCACGTCCACCGGCGCCGAGTACACAGCCTTGGTGATCTTTGACTCGAGTTTACGAATCGTTTCCTTGGAGGCCCCGACTATTCCACTGGGAAGCAGGTCTTCCTTGGGTCGTTGAAAGAGTATTTTGTGGAAATAAAGTTCGTACAGAAAGACTCCCAGGCTCCATGTCATGAGGAGTTCCGGATTGTAACTCGTCTTGCGGCTGCAGCAATATATGGCCACGACCTCCGGTGACGAATACGCCATGGTCGTCCTGACGGCAGCCGGATCCGAAACGCTCGGTTTGTGTATAGCGGGAGCCAGGTAGGCGCCGCCCAAGTCTATGACCGTACACTTCATGTCGGCGTTCACTACGACGTTGTTTGGCTTTATGTCACAGTGAAAGACGTTGCATTTTTGCACGCACGCGTGTAACGTGCGAAACACTTGCTTAAAAACGCTTCTAAAGTTTATCGAGCTCTTGTCGTGATATAGTATCCGGTCTAGGGGCCTACTCACCGAGTCGGCAAATATTATCGCCGCGCCCTTGTCGAACGCTACCTTACTCAGGCACTGGGGTATGCCCTCGCTTATTCCGCATTTTCTCAAGACCGAGAGGATCGTATACTCGGCGTATATCTCGCTCCCCTTGTTCTTACTCACTTTTATCACCACACTCTGGTCCTTGTTGAACACGAGCCTGTATACTTTAGCATACGACCCCTTGCCTAAAAACACGCACTTCATGCCCGAATATTATTTTTGTAGTGTGTAGAAAAAACTCCCTCGTCGCATCAAGTCTCTCCACAAGATAGTGATATCGCGTCAAATGGAGGAGGTTCATAAATACTACGTCGTCGAAGAGTCAGAGACCGATGGCAGCACGGTCGTGGTCTCGGAAGAACTACGAGATCAGGGGACCTCGATTGCTAAGGTCATTCGCGAATCCATCTTACCACACATAACGGTACCACCACCGGTTTCTTCTCCCGTCTTTATCGAAAACTCCGTCATCTTCCACAAGGACGAGAGCAAAACGGAAGACATTCGGACCATCGGCGCCTTTATCGATTGGCTCAAAGAACATTACATAAAAATGCATTTCAACAAAAGCGAAGACGAAGAAGACGAAGAAGAAGAAGATCCGTCTGAGGAAATAGACGATTGGGATCAACAAGACACCGCAGTCGTCTAGTCATTTAACCCACCCTGCGCCATTTCAATTGCACGCATAAAAATCGCACCTCCACCCATCACTACCATGTCCACGCGCTACTTACCCAACGTGCTCGGCATTCACCACCAGATAAAGGGGATTTAGAGCATTCAAACGGGTGGCGACGTTCGCAACATCCTAAACTCGGCCTACAATGATAACGTCTACATAGAGCGCAAGCTGACCGACGGACATATAGAAAAAACGTTTCTCGGTGACGTTTTCGTGAGCAAAAACGTTTACTGCGTCTATTCCCTGTACGATGATTAATCTCGAATTCGAGCTGGCCAAACGAGGCTACGACGTCGACACGACCTACAGACTGGGCAAGGGCGGCTTCGGAAAAGTCTACGCCGGCAGACGCATCTCCGACAACCTTCCGGTCGCTACAAAATGCATCGACTCGACCATGGTCTGGCACTGGTCGGAATATCGCGTCCCCATGGAAGTCTCCAACCTCCTCAAGGTCAGACTAATTTCGGGTGCAATTTACATGTACGACTGGTTCAAAATCCACCGCGGTGGACCATACGTCATCGTGACCGAGCGTTCCGAAAACGACGTTACCCTCGCAGAGTACCTCGACTGCTACAGACTTCGCGAACGCGAAGCCATTCTACTTTTCATCAAGATAGTCAGAATCGTTTACGACTGCTGGCTACTCTTTGGCCTGCTCCACTGCGACGTCAAAGAAGAAAACGTGCTCGTCGACATCGACACCGGAGACATCAAGCTCATCGACTTTGATTTTGTACTCCGCGACTCGGACAAACCGAAAACCTCCTTTTGCGGAACTCTCGAATATGCGCCGCCCGAATGGTTCCTAGAGCACGAGTATCTTCCCGAAGCCTCGGCTGTCTGGACTCTGGGTCTCTTATTCTTTAGACTCGTCTTTCACGAGTATCCCTTTTGCAGCTTCCAACAGATACGAGACTTTAGCGATCTAAACTACAACCCGATCTTTATTCGCTATAAGCACACCTTTTCGCTAAACACTATTCGGCTCCTGACTAGACTACTGCGGGTCAAGGGCAAGTCACGCATGAGGCTAGTCACCCTCTATAACGAACTTCGTCTCTTGACAAAGTAATCACCACAGGTAGATAAAGAGGTCCGGTATATGTACAATTCTTTATTTACACCTCATAATCTAAACTGTCTAGATATTCTTGTATTTCGTCATAAAGAGACATGGTCTTGCTCCGCTGCTCCTGCAGGGATGGAATCTTGTGACCTGTAAATAAAGGAATATATACAAATTAAAGACCAGTCTCTTTCCTCGTTCTAGACGGTCTTCCTCGCCGAGGCGGTCTAGGACGTTCTTTTAATAGCATTCCGATTTTTACGAGACGCGTCGGATCTTCCATCCCATCAGATACACTCTGCTAGAAAAAAAAAGGTACAACAAGGAGTTATATATGTACACTCACTTTTTGGGGGAAGGATGACCTCCTCGTCGAGCTCTTCAGTCTCCGTCACAACTTTCGCCACCACCTTATTCACCAGGTCCACAAGCAGGCGTTTGACCTCCTCCTCTTCTTCGTCTCCTTCGTGTTGGCAATTGTATTCACACATGGCCTGATGCAGAGCAGTTTCAAAGAAATCTTCTACTTTGTCGCTTTTAGAGTCTTTTTTGTAGACCGAATCAATCAGGTCGGCTACCATTGCCACGTCCTCGTCTGTCATATCTTCACCCGTAACGCTCGAAGGAGTGACTGGAACGTCGTCGTTTAGGGTGATGGCCACTAGTTGTTGTAAAGTGGTAACAGACTCGTATTCCCTTTCCAGCTGCTCCTCCGAGGGAAAGGACGGGGTAGAGCACGATTCCGCTTCCGACAATTTTGACAGAGCTTGAAATGCGCTCTGCATCGGTGAAAAATACGTATTCTTTTTAAGCGGTGCTGTCAGCAATTGACGTAATAACGAATTAGAGTCTTCGCTCACCTCAGACCATGTCGAGGAGGAGTCATCTCCAAAAACTGCCTTAGAAAGGTGATGAGCCATCGGTGGACTAAATGCCGATTGAAGCGATGGGGGACAAAATCCAGAGTGAAGCGATGATGAATAAATATCTGTCGACATCGTCTGCCGATGGTCATTCGATAATACAGAATGAGTGGTGGGTACCGCCGCCGCCGCCACCGGTACTTGTTCCCGATGCCACGTAAATGGGACGTGCACTTCATCGCACTGCCGCAGCGCCGACATTGACGAGGGTAAAAATCGCACAGACTGTGGTGCCACTAGCGCATCTTGACCATGCACCCACGTCGCTGGTAGTGGTAATGTTGGAAGCACGGTCTGTGCCTCCGCCACTGGCACTGTCGGAAAGATCCTGTGGTGTCGGCACTGGCACTGTTGGAGAGAGAGTCTGTACCTGCGCCACTGGCACTGTCGGAAAGACACTTTGTGCTTTCGGCAGTGGCACTGTTGAAGAGAAAGTCTGTGCCTCCGCCACTGGCACTGTTGGAAAGAGAGTCTCTACGTCCGCCATTGGCACTGTCGGAAAGAGAGTCTGTGCTGTCGGCACTGGCACTGTTGGAAAGAGAGTCTCTGCCTCCGCCACTGGCAGTGTCGGAAAGACATTCTGTGCTTTCGGCAGTGGCACTGTTGAAGAGAAAGTCTGTGCCTCCGCCACTGGCAGTGTTGGAAAGAGAGTCTCTACCTCCGCCATTGGCACTGTCGGAAAGAGGGTCTGTGCTGTCGGCACTGGCACTGTTGGAGAGAGAGTCTCTGCCTCCGCCACTGGCACTGTCGTAAAGAGAGTCTGTGCTGTCGGCACTGGCACTGTTGGAGAGAGAGTCTGTGCCTGCGCCACTGGCACTGTCGGAAAGACATCCTGTGGTGTCGGCACTGGCACTGTTGGAAAGAGAGTCTGTGCCTCCGCCAGTGGCACTGTCGGAAAGAGAGTCTGTGCTGTCGGCACCTGCACTGTCGGAAAGAGAGTCTGTGCCTCCGCCACTGGCACTGTTGGAAAGAAAGTCTGTGCCTCCGCCACTGGCACTGTTGGAAAGAGAGTCTCTGCCTCCGCCACTGGCACTGTTGGAAAGAGAGTCTCTGCCTCCGCCACTGGCAATGTTGTATGCACAGTGTGTGGCATCAACATTGGCACTGATGGGAGCACAGCCTCTGGCGCCGACACTGGCACTCTTGGGAAGACAGTCTCTGGCGCCGACAGTGATGGAAGCACAGTCTCTGGCACCAGCACTGATGGAAGCACAGTCTCTGACACCGGCACTGATGAAAGCACAGTCTCTGGCACCGGCACTGATGAAAGCACAGTCTCTGGCACCGGCACCGGCGATCCTGTATGTAGAGTCTGTGGCACCAGCAGTGATGAAAGCACAGTCTCTGGCACCGGCACCGGCGATCCTGTATGTAGAGTCTGTGGCACCAGCAGTGATGGAAGCACAGTCTCCGGCACTGGCACCGGCAATCTTGTGTGTAGAGTCTGTGGCACCAACAGTGATGGAAGCAGAGTCTCTGGAACTGGCACCGGCAATGTTGTATCTACAGTCTGTGGTACCGGCACTGGTGGAAGTAGAGTCTCTGGCACCGGCGCCGGCGATCTTGGATACAGAGTCTCTGGCGACGGCGGCAGTATGAGCTGCGACGGCGACGTCCTGAACTGTGATGGAGAAAATGAGAGCTCGAGCTGCGGACTTGATGGTGATGAAGATGGATGTGGCAGCTCGGACTCGGGCTCTTGCAGGAGCGGTTCGGCGTTGGGCGATGCCTTCGGCACGATCGGAAGTTCGGGCGAAAAGGATAATACTTCCGAGTTGCTCGTGGAAGGAGATGCCGCTGGTCCGGTGAAGGACGAACACTCCGAGAGCTTCGGACTCTCTGGTAGTGGCGTTAACGGCGGCAGGATCGGAGACTTGGGTGAGGGGGTGATTGATTCCGCGTTAACCGCGGAAGACGATACCACCGGTCCGGTGAAAGACGAGCACTCCGACTCTGACAGCCAGGGACTTTCTGGTATTGGCGTTGACGGCTCGTCCGACCAGAACGGACTTTTACTTTTTTGGGCTTCGACCATTTCGTCATCCGTTGAATCGGATAGAATTTGTCTCCGACGTTTCACAATGGGCCTAATTAGAGAATCCGGAGATGATGTCGATGAAGATCTGTTCTGGTCGTCATCCGAGTCGATATCAATAATTTCGTTTTCAGAATAGTATACAGGTTTCTTTGGAATCGGTCCGCTGTCAGAATCGGAGTCTAGACAATTCTTCCGTTTCCTGAAAGAAGAGGTGTACCGCACGATTTCTTCTTCCTCGCTGTCCGACGAATCAATTTTGGATTTTGGCACTCCTGCGTTCTTCAATACCATCTCGGTTGCAATATCCAATTCGTCATCGTCCGAATAAGAGTCTTTGTTGCCAGATTGGACGCTTTCGGATTTTTTCGCGGAGCCCGGGCTACTAATCGAGTCGTCCTCGATCCCTTCAAACACCTCCTGGCTAGACAACGTGGCAAATACCAATCGCTGTTCGTCGCCGGTAGGCGTCGACTCAGCAACAGGTTGCTGGAAGCCAATCGTTGTCCGAACCGTGTCCATGATAGAAGCGTTTTTGAAAAACCTGCTCGGCATCATGGTATTGGCCACGTTCATCGACGTGGCCAGGAGGGTCGGATATTGCTTCGACCATAGGTCGAGCAATTCCTCGGTCAGCACCTCGTCCTCCCTCGTACTGAAATAAATGAAGAGACCGAGGACGAATGGCCACAGAGTGGTCGCATCGAAATATTTCTTCACAAATGCTTCGACGGTCGCCTCTTCTTCGAAATTGCACAGGTGCATAACGAAGACGCGGCGACTAGACTTTTGAGAAATTTTGGTCACTACTTTGGTATATTCGGTCACGCAGGAGAAACCGAGAAAGGTTTTCAAAGCCTTAATGTTTTTCGGAGTTTTAAGAGTATCATAATTATCCAGGCGGCCGTAATTCAGGTCCTCCTGCGACGCCATGTTATGACGTATTAGTACGGATGAACATGTGGCGGCAGCGTTACAATTGAATGGTCGCAGGAGGTCCGATATTAAATTATAAAAGGCCGCCAGGATAGATTCGTTTTTAGACTCGACAACGAGGCGACAATCCCACACCCGCCGTTTTTCAATAATAACATACAATACATAAAAAAATAAAGATGTCATCAATTCCGATGTCTCCCGAGCGACAGACTCGTACTCCGTGGAATAAAAAAGTCCTCTAGAGAATTCTGCAACATCAAAGTCCCCAATTGATAGGCCGACCCCGGAGATGTAAACCCATGGATCGGTCAAAATGCTCGGATACTCTATGAGTTGCGCCAATTTAGATTTTTTTCTATCCGTCATTTTCCGACTTTCAATATTTGCAATTACATTCACGCATTGATTAAATTCCGACGAATAAAAAAACACAGATTTATACACCAATGTTTTAATGGATTCGCAAATGTAATTTACCATGAGGGCCCTATCCTTTTCAATATTAATACTTAGCCAATAAACTCGGCGAGTTCTCGGCGCATCGTCAACGACGTTAGCGCTGGTAAGATGAAATATTGCAGGAGAATTACCTTATTAGTTTTATCTCTGCTATCGTGACTGAACGTGTAGCTATAAGGATAAAATACTTTACCCTTGTAGCCGTTAAACATATTTAAAACAACGTGGGCGCGATTGCATTCATACCCTTGATAGTGAGTGAGCAAAAGAGGTTGCACCACGTGTTTAGGTTTTTCACGTGCGCCACGATAAAATACCCAATTTTCGCTGGAGTCTCCGTCCACCGGCAGCCAAACGGAATAGGGGGCCGACGCTACAGAATCCTCGAGAAACTTTAACAATTCCTTCGTTACATGTCTCTCGCTCATCATGCGGGCCACCTCTTCGTTAAGGTAATCGATGAATAAATGCCTTAAAGAATCAACGGGAGAATTGTCCAGATTAGCTATGGACCACATGACGAAATGAATTAATAAAATGATAAGAGAAGGAGATGGTTTCACCGGTACCGTTAGGAGGTCGTAGTCTTGCGGCATCTCCTTCCACGTCCTCGGAACGACGCCGGGAATGAATTTCACTTTGTCCTTGGTCATTTTCTTTCGCTTCAAACTTTCAAATACTTTCATACTGGTCGAGGCTGGTATGGTCGAATGATTGAAGGTTGCTTTCACCGGCGTCTTTAGATGATGGCCCGGAGCTTCTAGTCGTGCCGTCGGCATTGGAAATCGCCTGGACTCCATGTCTGCCAGTAGTAGTAGTCCTGTCGTTGCTGCGAGGGAGAGGGTAGGCTAGTAGTCGGTGGTAGTGTGTCGCCCGTTTTATACCTCACTAAGACCCCCCTCTCACAGCCCATGTGACTCTCTGGTGGCGAGCTATTAGTAGCATTGACGTCAAAAACCACTCGAATAACAACCAACCTTGCATATTTCCATATCGCGTTACCGCTCGACATCTGACCTTGGCGATGAGACTCGCGTGAATGTAAGATCAGTTCCACGAACACTCGACAGTTATCAGTGACCAGACTTTGAACATAAATTAATTTCTAGAAAACATTTTGAGACGAAACTTAGTGTCTGTCCTGTGCTGGCTTGCTGATACGACTACCACGAAAATGTTCTCATTTATATAATCCCTTCTATGAGTCACTTTGTTTAAGCTTAAATTGAAACTACTTCATATCCATTGTCTTGTCAACTTTTTAACTTTCCCTGGTCATTACCACCACCCTTAGTAACACTATGGTTCAACACTCTTCATTCTAAAAGTCAAAAATATTAAAGGGGTGCTTTTGTTTCTACCTAAATTTTTGTCTTCAAAGTTAGCGTCCCGACGCAACACGAAGGTTAAAACACTCTTAGTCACAAAATATTAAAGGGGTGTTTTTGTTTCTACCTAAATTTTTGTCTTCAAAGTTAGCGTCCCCACGCAACACGAAGGTTAAAACACTCTTAGTCACAAAATATTAAAGGGGTGTTTTTGTTTCTACCTAAATTTTTGTCTTCAAAGTTAGCGTCCCCACGCAACACGAAGGTTAAAACACTCTTAGTCATAAAATATTAAAGGGGTGTTTTGTTTCTACCTAAATTTTTGTCTTCAAAGTTACCGTCCCCACGCAACACGAAGGTTCAACACTCTTAGTCACAAAGGGCAAGATGCCTTAGACTTTCCACGTTCCTCTCTCCCCCCCCCCACCCCCCATACAACTATCAGCCTGTAGCAACAGCGCTCTTAGTCAGAAAGGGCAAGATACCTTAAACTGTCCACGTTCCTCCTTACCCTCACCCACACCCCCCCACCCCCCCTCCCCCCTCCCCCCCTCTCCCCCACCCATACAACTATCAGCCTGTAGCAAACAGCGCTCTTAGTCAGAAAGGGCAAGATACCTCAGACTGTCCACGCCCCCCCCCCCCCTCCCCTCCCCCCCTCCCCCCCATACAGCTATCAGCCTGTAGCAACAGCGCTCTTAGTAACAAAGGTCAAAATCCATACAAGATTGTTGCTTTGCTCCTCCCCCTCCACTTAAAATTGTTATCATCTAAAGCCGAAATATGCGTATATCTTTTGTGTACTTACTGACGTCAGCTATATGGATTGCAACGCCCCCTTTAGTGTATATATATATATATATATATATTGCGAGTAGTGTTACACATCACGACACGACGACTAGTACTAGTACCGACGAAGATGCAGGACGTAATTGCAAGGTTCCGAACTTTCGAGGGTTGCCAAATGCAATACCCGACACCTAGGTGTATGGCATTTGCCGGCTTCCGTCGCCTCCTCGGGGTAAATTTCTGCCAAGATTGCAACCTCGTTGTGACAGACGAATACCTGAGACTCTCAAACTCCAACGCCTCGGCATTGGGAATGTGGGTGCATCCACATAAACTCCACGCCGCCGCATCTCCAGACTGCAAATTTATCAAGACATATCGGGACCCACGGCTGTTTGTGGATTTCGACCCAGTAGTCTACGAGTCACCAGTTCACCCCACCATGTGCAACGTTATGGACAGAATGACGTCATTTGGAAGGTATTCCAAGTACTACAAAGAGTTTGCAAACGCCGGATTCTTTATGAGAGAATGCGAGACAGCCGAAGGAGACGTCACCTGCTTTTATTGCGGAATGCAGGCGTGGATGGGAAACTTCAACGAAGAAGACCCCTGGGTGCTTCACGCTCGGCACTCGCCGCACTGCTTCGTCCTCCGAATGCTCAAGAGCGAGGATTTCATCCGAAAGACTGTGACGGACTATAGATTAAGTGAACGATTCTGGGCACTGGCGCTCCCCGAGGTGAAGAGTCTCTTGATGGAGCGAACGACTCGTTCCAAGACACTGGACTATCTCAGAATGTATTGTGACCTGTCGCGGCCGGACAACGTGAGGGACTTTGTGGCTGCAATTTCGGACAAGGGATACTACGACTTCCGAGTGCCCGCCAGACTATTGAATCCTGTGGTGATCGCTCCGCCGTGCGTCCCTCTGGTTGACGGAAGAGAAGACGTCGACGCTCCCGACGAATAATAACAATAAATCGCAATCAAACAAAATATGGTCCAAGTTTCTTTTCCAATCTGGTCCAGACTAGAAGTGGTCTGTCGACCCTTTTAAAGAGTTCTTCGATAGAGTGGGGATGCGAGAGAACGAAATGTAGAAATTTACGTTCTTCTGGATCGGCGTACACGTAGGGGTTGGTGCGAAGGGACTCGAGTTTGTTTTTTACGCGGAGTAACCAAGCGACGCCTATATCTTCTCGTCAGCCATCGTGTAGCGTCTTTAACTTTATGATTAGGGAACGAAAGTCAAAGTGGCCGTGCACGGCAACGAAGCGATTAAAGTTGCGAACAGTTGCCTCGTAGTCTGACGAATTGAGGAGATAGTCCCACAAGCGCTGCGCCATCGGCACGGTTCGCACAACTTTTTCGTAAAACGCAGACTTTGCGTACTGTTTCTCGACGTTCAGCATGTAATGGAGGTCGCGGAGCCAGTCTCTGTCGTCGTCGCAGCGTGTCTGTGAACGTCTGGCGGCGGTCTCGTACTCCTCGACCTCGTAGACGCTGGTTGCGCCACCGTCGTGTCGCATAATGGCCTCGAGTGGCGAGAGCCTCGTTGCTTCCACAATCAGGACTCGAACGCGATGCGACATGGGCGTTTTCGTAATCAGGGTCTCGATATGACAGGCGTTGTCGCGCAAAATGCACAGGGCCGTGTAAACGCGCATCGTAAAGTTTACCCACTGCGTTCCCTCGTTGCGGAATTATCTTAGCGCCTCGGGTAGCACGCGGGTCCAGTCGGTCGTCACCAAAGACGCGTAGCGAAAAAAGTCTTGTAGACTCCTCTTATCGCCGCGAAGCCAGAACCACACTCTGACTAGGGCTGGGTTCGTCTTTTCGTAGAGGAGATGCGAATAAAGGTAACCCAGCACCCGCTCGCTACCGTGTACATTTTCGGGACGCATCATGCGAAACACTTCCATCGAGGGACTAGTCCCGGTCGGCGGATCATTGTCCTTGAGAAACTCGTACACGTCGATGGGCACGTCCCCGCTCGAAAACTCCTTTCCCGTGGTGGAATAGACGAGTTTCCCGTAAAGTCTAAACACGACGTCCGCGTCGTAGTCGTGCTTCCTCAGGAGCTCGGCTGCCACCAGTTCTCGCCACAAGTGCTTGCACACCCAGGTGTTTGCGGCGCGCGCAATCGCACGCAGCACAACCTCGGAGGCCTCGTTCCCGGCCGATACTCTGCCTTCGCGCCTCTCCAGAAAACCAAACACGTCCGCGTGCTTGTCCAAGAGCCGCTCGGCTATCGCGGTAGTCTTTTCGATCACGGTGGTCCACAGATCCATGTCGTGAAACACCGACCCGTAATCCAAATTGTCTTTTGAAGAAGAAGTTTCTCTAAATACGGAGCTCATTGCGTCTTCTTCCGTTTCGGCGTCGCACACGAGCTCAAACAGTTTCACCGCCGCGTCTCCGTGTGCGAGTTTGGCCGCGAGGCTCGGATGGACGCGCTCGCTCCAGTCTGTTCCCGGGATCCGTTCGCGAGGCATCCGCCTGACTCTCTTGATCAGGCCGGCCCAATCCAGCCTGTAGTTTTCAAACGTGGACACCGCCTCACGGTATCGCTCGAACAGCCCTAACAACCTACGCTCGTCCTTCCGCAACTCGTTTATAAATTCGATCACGGTAGGGTTCAGTTCGCAAACCACGCCCTCGGCCAGCACGGTGGCCATGAGTTTAACGTCGATCCAATCGTTTCGGTAATTGAAGGCCCGAGAATGAGAGGTCATCATGGTGTCGTACTCTTCTTTCGAATAATACTCGCGCATCCGCCGAAAAAACCACTCGCAGACGGTGGACCGCTTCGCGAATGTCTTGGCCGCTTCCACGACCCTGACGAGAAAGTACTCGTCCAGGTCGGGGTGATCGTCCACGTAATTCAAGAGCGGAACGTTGGACCGAGCGTCCTTCAGGGTCTTCTCCATTATTTCGCACACCAGGGCGGCCAGCTCGTGGTTGCCCGCCGCCAACAGAGCGTACTTGCGAAGAATCTCAACGTCTCTCTGAAGTGGCGGCGGGGGGAAGCGCCCAAAGAACACGTTTAGAGCCGTCTGTGTCTTTTCAATCGTGCGAACGCAAGCGACGTGCGCGAGAAGAAACCTCATACTGTCGACCGCGTCTCTGACATTTGCGAACGTTTTGGCAAAGGCACTCGGGTCGCACGACTCGCCCAGTTTGGCTCGAATCTTTGCCAGGGCCTCGGCCGCGTGTAGAACCCTGCCTCTGTAATCGGCGTCCGAGAGCACCACTTGCTTGACGACGCGATAATACAGACTACACAATTCCGGAGGAAACACGCCGAGTATCTCGTTGTACAAGTTCTTTACCGACGACACCGTTTTGAGGAGTTGCACTATCTCGGCCGTGTTGTAACCTCTTTCCGTGGCCAGAGTGGACAGCCACTCTTTGGGCGACCGCGTTCCGCGCGTCGTCTCCAACGCCGCGTGGTATCCAAATACCCCGTGGCGGTCTTCCGTGTAGTCGCTACCAACTCCCGTCAGAAAACCCCAGTGCTCTCCGAACGTAGTCAGGCGGCCCACTTCTTCGATCACGGTCCGCGTCCTATTCAAGCTTTCTCTGATATTGTCTTCCAGTTCTGACAACTGCGATTTATTTAACGCACCGGTACGCACGATTGCGGCCCTGAGGTTCTCGTTGTCGATGGTCGCGTCCAGAGGCACGGGCGATATTCGCTCCTTGGCTCTGTGCATGTGATCGATGGCATCGTCCGTAAATACCTTACGAACGTGTGCCTCGTAAGCCGCCAACGAACACACCAGGGTCTCGGCGTGAGGCACGTACACTTCAGCTAGAGACTCCTTCGACACCGTTCTGCCGTCGCGCATTGCCTCGAATTCGTCGTAGAGGCCGGCCTGCGCGCTAACCGCGTTCAACGTCTTGGCGAATGGCATACAGTCGCGCTGGTAGTAGTAGTTGGTCAGGTGGTTGGGAAAATCTCTCCCGACCGCAAACGCCGCAGACAACACGGCCCGATGCTTTTCAAAGAGAGCGGCCCCTTCGCGTATCCTGTCGGCGATTCTAGCTAGTGTCGCTCCAAACTCGGCCAACTCGTCGGACGCCACTCTGCCTAGGACGTCCTTGGAGGCTCGCAAAAACTCTTGGTCCGCTTCGAGGGATCTGACTCGCGCGCTAGTTTGGGGCACCACGGCTAGGATCTCTCGCCTAGACTCCACGTGCGTCTCGTACTCTGCGTCGTAGATACGGTAGTGCTTTGAGGCTCGTTCGTAAGACGCCACGGCCTCGTTCAACTCCCCAGTGGTGTTCAAGTCTAGGCTTTGGACAAGAGACGCGAGGGAATTTTTGACACAAGCATCGTAAAAGGCCAGAAACACTTTATATTCGCGAGCGTTGGCGACTCCCGACTGGATTCCGCCCGATTCAAAGTCCGGGTGTCGCGAAATGTAGTCGATAACGCGAGATGGAAGTCGAACGCATATCCTCTGTCGTTCGCTCTTTAGAAAACGCAAGACTCGTCCGACCTCCCTCAACCGATCCAACAACTGTTGCGCGTCTTTGAAGGAAACGAGCCTGTTGTTTTGCGCCCGGTTGCGCAGGCGTTCGTACTCTTTTAAGTCCTCGTCAAATTTTGTCAAGCCGTTCTTCTTTAACTCGTCCACCGCGTCGGCAATTTCTCGGTCGGACTTGGCCACCCCTATCACGCGCTCGTTCGCCTTCACTATCCCTTCGAGTCTAGATAGGTCGATCCATAACGTCTCGAATAAAGAGTCTAGAAACTCGATCCTATCACCACTCTGCAAAGACGCGTGTTTCTTTAGGTAGACGTCGATCCATTCGACCAGGTCCTTCTCTCGTAGAGCCAAAAAATCTAGAGTTTGTTTCTGGGCACCGTATTGCAGGGCGACTGGTTTCCAATCGCGCACGTACAAGGCGTCCCGCACGTTTTCAAAGACTCGCATCCTGGCTTCCTTCTCAAAGAGAACCTTTACATAGTCGCCCGTGTGCCGGAGCGCGTCCGCGTCCAAAGTCGCGAGCGCGTCGGGAGAAGCTATCGCTTCCAACACCCCCGTCGTCCCGTCATCCGAGTCGGCGTACGCCCTGGCCAGCGGATCGGTTCTCCTCACGCTCTTCGCGTAAGGCGTCAGGTGCGACTCTATCGCATGAGTCACCTCCTTGGTTTCTCGCACCATTGTCGCTACGAATCGGGCCATCTCGGTAAAGTCGCGCGTACTCTGTTGCACGTCGAGGTCGTCCGTAGAGGTGCGTCGGCCCAATACGTCCGTGAGGAAAAGATACTTTTTGGTCCGCGCAATCCGAGCTCGCAACACATTTTCCTCGAACGGCGTCCCGATTCCACGTATGGGCGCGACAATCTTCCTCTCGATGATCGCCCTGCGATCCTTCAAAAATTGCATCTCGGTCGCGTACGCCTCGCCATCGCTCTCGTCGCACACGTATCTGGGCAGGACCCAGTTTGAGTACCAATCGTCGAATCCCGACCTCGAAGATGCAGCCAACGGAGCATCCGAGTTCGGCCACCGGGCCGCGGCGGATCGTGCCGACAAAGAAGAAGATAGGAAGACGAACAAGTCTCGAGTAAACGGCTTGCTTCTCTTTTCAATCAATAAAGATTTTATTCGCAGAGACTCGTTCCATGCGTCCACCTTACTCTTGACGGCGCGGGCCGAACGCAGCGTCGACAAGACGCTAAACACTGTGCCAACGACGGGCTCCGCGTTTAGGTTAGGACAGGTGTCGATGTCAGTGTCTGCTTTCGCGGATCGCGACGCTTCCCTCGTCGCGTCCAATTCCGCCAATAATTTCGAATACAACTTCAAATCCCTTTCCAGGTGCAAGTGCCGATACTCTACCGCATCTGCGTCGTCTTCCTTTAGGTCCGACATTGAATTGCCCAGCGATTCGTCCGAGTAGATTCTGGTCACTAACTTTGCGGGCGATTCGTCTTCGGCGCGACGGTGCGCGAGGATGGACTCGTAGATTGCTACGTATTCCCGAGCCAGAGACGCGCGCTTGGGTTGTACCTTGTCCTTCAGACGAACAATTTCTTTCCGACAAGATTCCCACGTCGCGGCAGGCAAGGTGCGGTGCAAGCCCTCCCTGTACGCTCGCGTGACGGCGACAAAGTCGGAATTGGCAGCCGCCTCGTACGCCTCGGCGCGAGGTTCCGTGATCAAACGTTCGGCGTCCAGAGCCGACGAAATGTCTAGCGTCTTTTTGCGATCTTCGTACGCCGCGACGAGAGACCGACTCGCCTTTTCCCAGTCTACCCGAGAGTCGAAGACTCCCTCCAGCCACTTTGGATACGAGACGGTCTCCGTGTCAAATACAGTCTTTGGCACGTCAGGTGCATCTGTAATGTCCCACAGTTTGAGCTGCTTCACTATTCCGAATATCTTGTACTTTTCAAAGACTTTGTACATTGCCAGGTAGTTTTTGGCGTCCCTACACATGTTCAATAGCTCGGAAACGAAGCTTCGAGTCAGGTCGGCGTGATGACGCTTAATCAGGTCTTTTTGCGACATTGTCGTCAATTCGATTCGCTTTAGAAAATCGAGCACTCTCGCGTTATCGCCTCGCTGCGGCCAGGGAGAAAGCTTCAGGTCCCGCGTTAGCCTTTCGACGTGTCGAGAGCAGTCCATCAAGTCCGTTTCTTGGCCCAGAGCCTCGTATATTTCGGCCTTTCGCCGAACGTAGGCCGCTCTCTTTGCGTGGGCGTTTGCGATCCTGTCCCAGGGAAAGGTGGCCACAACGTCGATGGCGCCTTCGCGTATTATCCTGGCGAGGTAATCGTCTTCTCCGGTAACGCCGTCCTCGTACTGACGAACGTACTCTCCGTCCGGAGAGTGCATGCCCCAGTCACGCAGAGACTCTCTGTAGCGCTTTTCGTTTTCCACCAACTCTCTAATCTTGGCGACTTTCTCGGTCACGGTGGCCAGCGTGTCCTTTGGCGAGATCATTTCCGTGTTTAGCCACTTGGCGTAATTCCGACCGGCACGTTCGATCGCCTTACGTACCTCTTCCGATCCGTGCACTTTGAGATTTTCGACTCGGGTCAGGTCGGGAAACTCTTTGCGGACCGCGTCGACCATCTGCGCGTAGGCGGCGTGGCACGCCAGCCACGCCTCTAGCTCTGGTCTCAGGTCCGTCTCGTCGGCGAAATCGAGAAAGAGACGCTCCCTAAAAGTTTCCAGAACTGTGTCCTCTAGCCGTAGAAATCGGCGGTCCACGCACTTTTCCGCGTATTTGGCCTCGCGCAAAAACTCGAAAAAATCGACCGTCACTCTTTCGCGCAAGAGCCTCCACA